TTAATTAATTAATTAATTAAGACTAAACGACGACTGGGCGTACGCGAATGAGACACGTTCGAAATCGTGGGATTTCCAGAACGAAGAGGCGGCGCTTAAGACCGCAGTGGAACGGTTTAATTCGAGGCGATACGCACACCTCTATCCGGCATTTGCTTTGGGTTGGTTTTGTTAATTGTTATTATTTATTGTTGTTATTTATTATTATTTATTATTATATATTTTTATTATTATTGTTATTGTTTTTGTTATATTGTTATCGTGTTAATTAATTAATTAATTCAGAGCCAAGTGAAGCGCCATCACCAGGCGATACGTATTTGGATACAGTGGATTTGAGGGAGTATGAGCCGGTGGATAATAGTATACAGTCGTTATTGGGGGGTGAGAGGGAGTTGAGTGAGAGGTTTAAGAGAAATTACGAGAAGTGGGTGGAGTTTGAGGTGATTTTGGTATTTATTGTTATTTTTTATTATTTATTATTGTTATTTATTATTGTTATTATTTATTTTTATTTATTATTGTTATTATTTATTATTGTTATTAATTATTATTTTGAGGTAATGAAACGACAGACGAATTGGGATCAGCTGTTAGTAAATACGAGAGGGATTACGGATATGGTCGTGTGAATGGGATGTTTTGGTGTTTATTATTATTATTATTAATTAGTATTATTTATTATTATTGATAATAATTAGTATTATTTATTGTTATTTATTATTATTATTATCATTTATTATTATAATCATTAAAAGTCACAAAAATAAATCTCATCATGTAATTTTTATTGAGTGTTTTAATGGATGTTTAATAAAGTGTTTTACATTTTTGGTATTTTATTATTTGTTAGTGATATTGAAACGTCGTGATTTAAGTCGACGGGAATATTTATTATTGTTATTATTATTTTTTATTGTTATTTTTATAGTTATTATTATTTTTTATTATTTATTATTATTTATATTGTTATTTATTATTATTGTTTGTTATTTATTATCGTTATTTACTTTCTCGCTGTTGCATCTGCCTTGTGTCGTTGTTTATTATTAATAAAGAAGTGGTTATTTATTATTATTATTATTATTATTAATTTGTTATTGTTTATTATTATTATGTTATTGTTTTTATGTATTGTATTATTATTATAGTTATTATTATTATTATTTTTTATATTTTAAATATATTATATTATTATTATTATAATTAATGGGTATGTTCAGGATCGGGTAAATTCGGCGACGTGTATGTAAATAGAATGTTGTCGAATGCAGTGTTTAAAGCGAAAACGCCGACCGTGTGTCAGTATTTGACACGGACACTCGCTTCGTTGACGGGACGGAGGGATGAACCTGCGTAAGTTATTTTTTATTATTTATTATTATTTATTATTGTTATTATTATTTATTATTGTTATTATTTATTATTATTTATTAT